AAAAAAAAAAAAAAAAAAAAAGGACCACACTTTGAATAGTACCATATAAAATTAAAACAATAAAGACAACCCTTACATGATCTCAAATGGAATATATATATTAAGTTTCCTATATAGAGTTAATGGGCACATAACACATGGTGCCCATTACAACTATATGCAAATTCCAAAGTGCTCATTGGTTTCCCAGTAATAAAGCTGCATAATTTAACAAAAAAACTTAATTGTATTAATAAATTGCATTATATGACCCAAACAGCATTGTTAAATGCATTGTAACCTCAGAAAATTTTACAGCCAATCTGACAAGCATTTCTAGATATTAACATGACGTAAAAAACTCAGCGGGGTCGGTGCCTCGGTCTGGGCAAATGGCATGAAATGGCCAAAGGTCACTCTGAGAATGTGTCTGTGAGGTGGGCCCGACTGGCTTAAGAGGGCAGCTGTTATCACATTCAGACCCCCCAGGCTGACAGTACATGAGTTCTGTGTAGTTGCGTAGTTGTTTCAGTGTCTGCCGTAAGAGAGGGCTTGTTCTGACAAGCGCTGGGAGTTTGTATGTGCTTAAAGCAGGGCCGCGTCCTCTCGCTTGAGGACAGGGTCCTGATAAGAGTCTCTCCAGACAGTGGTGCTTCTGTTTATTTCCTCTCCTCTCTTTTCAGATTGGCATCAGTAGGATGCTGAGTGCCAGAGGCTGGCGCAGAGGAAATTAGATAACGTGAGGGCAATTTTTGCCACCCCTGACTCATCTAATAGCTCATCTCTGTTGTGTTTTAGGAACGGCAGCGACTGGAAACAATCTTGAACCTCTGTGCCGAGTACAACAAGGGCGACGGGCCGGCGGGAGATCTGGGTAGGATGGGCGTCTCTGGGCTTGGCTCGAGGGACGGGCTTAACGTCAGACGTCCTTCCTTGGACAGTGTGAGCAGCGCTTCCCTAAGGGTGGCACAGAGACATCGTGAAAGCCAAGAGGAGAACCTGAAGGGGGACAGGATTAGCACTGAGAGTGCGCAGCAGGACGGACGGACCCCAACAACTCTGTTAAATGGACAAAATGGACAGGTCGGACTCCCTTTCATTCTTTAAATCGGAACACTTTATACAGGTGCATCTCAATAAATTAGAATGTCATGGAAAAGTCCATTAGCAATGTTAGTATCTACCTTTTTAATCATTTATACAATATTAATATGCTTTTCGTATGATATATTTGTAGTGTTACATTACAGTTTAAAAGTTTGGAAATTGGAAATGAATACTTTTATTTATATTTTTATTCAAAAGTGACTGTAAAGAAATTCATAATGTTAAAAAAGATTCCTATTTCAAATAAATGCTGTTCTTTTGACTTTCTGTTTATCAAGGAATCATGAAAATGTATTATGGTTTCCATGAAAATTAAGTCGCACAACTGTTTTTAACAGATAATAATAAGAAATGTTGCTTGTGCAGCATATCAGAATGATTTCTGAAGGGTCATGTTACACTGAAAATTCAGTTTTGCCATCACATTAATAAATAGCTTTTCAAAATATATTATAATAGAAAACCATTCTTTTAAATTGTTTCATAATAGTACTGTTTTTACTGTATTTTCATCAAATAAACAGCCTTGGTGAGCATGAGAGACTTCAAAAGCATTATAAAAGTACTTACTGACCACAAATATTTGAGCAGTAGTGTATATAAACAGTACATCATATAAACTGTGTGTGAATTGTATTCAGGCAGAGGACTCTCTGGGATCGGGCAGCATTGGCCGTCTGGAACTGGGATACCTGGAGGAGGAGCGGGTTCGAGTGCTGGCAAAGGTAGATGAGCTCAAAGCTCGAATCATAGAACTGGAGCAGCAACTTCAGGAGTCCAAACAGGAGGTGAGCCACTCTCATAAACATTTTTATATAGTTAAATACACTGAAGGATATACAGGAAGTCCTTTCCTAATTATAGTGGATAAGAATCGGAAGCAGAGGGAAGTGATGCGTAGTGGAACAGAGAATGTCAGATGGAGCTCTCGGGTATGTTTATGTGGCCTGTGTGAGAATTGCTCTATCTGACGTGTTGATCTGGACAGGCGGAGATTGAAAGAGCTCTGCTGCAGGGAGAGAGACAGGCCGAGCTGGAGCAAATCGAGGCCGAGACAGAGATTATCAACCAGCTGCAGCGCAAACTCAGCGAACTGGAGAGCACCATCCAGAGAGAGAAAGACAAGGTAGGATACACACACCACATAAAAGCTCACAGAATGAAATTGTCCATATTCAGAACACATTATTGCATTCATTTTTCATGTAGAAGTAAAAATGTTTTCCATAAAGGTGTGGTCATATTTAGCATTGCATGGTGAATTTTCATTGTCGAAATCCATCATCTCGAATTTCGCATGAGGGTAAAAGATTTCCCTACGCAGATTTTGCAACTGGTTCAGTTGGTTGTGCTTGGTTTAAAAGTGACTTCATTAGCCGGGTTTTCATTACAGATTTGCTCAAAACTTTTGCGATATTTTATAAATGTCGATAAAAAAACCTATTGCGAATTGATGGTGTTTCCATTAACCGATGTTATGCGGCTAAAACGTAATTTTTTCCTCTCGTGATAAGTCATGGTAACGGATGTTGGTAGATTTACGTATATTGCATCCACTGCACTAGCCATTAATTTTAATCAAAGTAGACGTATGCGTTTATCTTTAGTGAAGCAGTGCTGAGAGTTGGTTCTGGGATGCTTCTGAAACGTGCCGCGGCGCAGCGGGTGTAAACACAAGCATTGGTGGCCATGTCGCAGCCGTAATGCACTACAGACGTATGCAGTGTAAACGGGGTTATCCAAGGTTATCCACTTTTATGTACGCCAGGTGACCTGTAAATACAAAAAAAAAAACGGTTTCCATGGCAGTTTTGTGATATATTCCTTTTTCGAATTGCCTGAAAAAACACCTCATGCGAGTGTAAAAATGTTTTGCGATATATGGGAGTGTTTCCATTAGGTGCATTTACAATTCGGAATTTCAATTTACGCAGTTTGAAGGGTAATGGAAACACGGCTATTGTAAGCTGTTCTTCAAACATGAAATTTTTGCTGAAATGTGACTGCACCTTAATTGTTAAGAGTTTCAAATCCCCAACCGACTGTTTTGTGTTTTATACTGTTGAGCCTCTCTGGACTGAACAGCCTTTTCTGGTCTCTAACATTCCTTAAAGGCATGCCATTCTGTCGGATGGCCACTCAAGGCCCATTCTGGTCTCGATTGCCATCCCCAGGTAAAAAAAAAAAATGAAAGAGCGAAAGTGCTCATACAAACTAGCCAAAGCGCTTCCCATTACATCTGGTCATTCTACATCCCACAATAGAGGATCTGAAGACGATAGTCACATTTAAATGTAGTTCACTAGTTATGTTTGGGCAGAAAGCCAAGGTTCTGTCAAGTAATCAAGCATTCATTCACAAGAGGTGTTGTCTTTTTCCTCTCCTTTTGTGGTGGTTCTCATCAGGTCCTCTACAAAGCTTGGCAACACTAACAAGCCTTCATTAACCTCTAATCTCCTCACTGCTTTTTTCCGCACTCACAGTCTCTCCGTTTCTTCTGCTCGCCCCCTCGGGTTCAAAACTGTTTCGCTTAGCGCAAACTCAGGCTTTGGGATTAGCACGCTGGCTTTGAGGGACAATAGCTCCAGTGGTGCGAGACTTGGTGACTTACAGTGGGTGTCTTTTTAGAAAGCCTTTTCCTGCACGCTGTTTCAGAATTCCAGCTTTTATTTCTTATCCATCAGATTCTGGGTTTCTCTGGGTGTTTTAGTCTCCTTTTTCGATTCCGCCAAGTATTATGCACTTGGAGAGATCCTTAAAGGAATAGTTCACTAAAAAATGAAAATTATGACTTTCATAAGACTCACTTTCAGTCTCTGGAATGCAAAAGGGGAAATTATGAACACTGTGCTTGGCGTTCTTTCCCATAGAATTACAGTGAATGGGAACTGAAGCCTTCAAGCTTCAAAAACGATGCAAAAGCAACATAAAAGTATCATAAAAGTGGTCAGTACAACTAATGTGGTAGGACATTTAAGTGCTTATTTTAAGTTGTTAAAGGGATAGTTCACCCAAAAATTAGTTTCTTTCTTATGTTGTACATAAAAGAAGATATTTTGAAGAATGCTGATAATCAAACAGTTGATGGTATCCACTGACTTCCATAGTATTTCTTTCACTACTACAGAAATCAATGGGGACCAACAACTTTTTGGTTCTTCAAAATTATTTTGTGTTCAACATAAAAAAGAAACTTTTACAGGTTTGGAACAATCAATAGCAAATCTCAACTGGTTGATTACTTGTATCATCGCAAAATGTAATCTACTGTATATTATAGCTCGGCTCTAATCTTCTAAATGCAACTATATGGCATGACGACATTAAGATATTAGATATATTAACATCATGATTTTCTATAAAGTTGGTTTAAAACAATGTATTATAAAAAAAATGCACTTTACAAAATAAATTGGACTCAACTGGAATAGATCCTTGCAGTTTTCAATAAGCATTATAGCTGATAAAACTTCATAGATTTTTATATCAAGTAAATTTTTTATAATACTTGTATGGTACCTGTGCACCTTAAAGAGCTTAAAGTCCACATTCATTGTAATTGTTTAGAAAAGAGCAACAAAAAATTCTAATTCTAAAATTCTAATTTTGTGTTCCACAGAGAAAAAAAAAACTTTGATTAATTAATGATATAAAAAGATAAATATTTTATTCAAAGATACTGTGCAATACTTTGGATTGGTTTTTCATAACTGGTTTGTTCATTCAGATCTTTATTGATCAGTTTGTTTGCTTTGAACCCGTTTCCCTTACGGGGGTTTGGCTACCACCGCGGTCATGTTACCAGACCAACTGTAATTTGTACTAGATTGATCTAGACTGCAAACAATCTGTGCAGTGTTTGTGCAAACACAGAAAATTCCCCTATAAGCCTTGAAAATGGCTTTTTAAAGTTCAGAATCTGGTTCTGTCTGTGCTTTGATTTATTGATGTTTTGACATGCTATGAATGTTGGTCTGGAAAGAACACAATGCATGAATGCCATGTGCAGTAGAGTAGCTCAACATCTAGCCTTAGAAATATCAGAGGACTAACTTTTTTTAAAATATATATCTGATGCATTAAGTATGCTATTGCAAATCTTCCTTTTTATGATAAAAGAAAGAAAAAGGCCAGCTTTAAACTAGCCGACGATCCCAAACAAATCAATTCCTGCCATCTGATATAGCATAATCTCATGTAAAAAGCACATACCATTGGAAAATCATTACATCTGAAGTCTTTGACCAAGAAATGCCTGAGAACAGAAGTCTGTTTGGCCCTGTTGACGGCCTACAGTCCAGTGCCACGCAGTGTTTTATAAGGCTTAGAGTTCATCCTTTCTGGCTCCACCCACTCTCTTGTGACCTCTAACCTCGGACGCTTCTGCATGGCGTGGATTTGAGCTGTGTGTTCTCTTTCTCTCCCCTTCCCCGGATGGTGTGTTTTCTTTCTAGGAGAGGGCTAATGTTGACGCGGAGCGGGAAGCCCTGGAGAGGCTTCAGGATGGGTACAATGAGTTGACGAGCCAGCTCCATAACTGCCCTGAGTCTCTGAGGGAGCAGTTACAGGAACAACTCAAGAGGGTCAGTGACCATCAGGAACATCAGCACTTTACCGACTGCTTCCGCCCCACAGTTCTGGCTTTATGAACCCCACCTTCCAGATACACATTCCCAACTAAGCTCTTTTGGGTTGTCTATGCACCAAATCCACCACGATGATCCTAGTAGAAACATTATTCAGTGTTTATTATTATTAAGAATGATTTCTGCTGGGAACACCATGTTTTTATTCTTGTCTGAAAGTGTCTAAATATCTTATGGGAGGTAAAGTGGTGTTAATTGGTAAGATTTTGCATGTTTTCGACATTTTTGGGTGTATTTTTGAGGTTTCTTACATTCTACTGTCTGGTGCCAAAACATTTATAACACTTAACAATGTACTAATCTATTAATGCAGAAACTAACGTAGTGCTAGTTTTATTTTGATACCTCTCACTTCTCTCACATGATTATTTCCTTCAAACCAGCTAAGCGCAAAACCCACCCGCAGTCGATTTCATTGGCCAAATCAATCATGCAAGTCGATAAAAGTTCAGAGTTTAGAAAAATCAACAAACTTGCTTTTTATCTGGAAGTGCAGCCAATTTTATAATAAGGTTAAGGTTAGTGTTTGTTTAAACATTAAATAGTCAATCAGCTATGATTGAAATGTCCAATGAAATCTTTACAATCGCTAAATAATTTGCACGTAACTTGTTTGGGGGAAAATCATGCACTTCTCTCTATATACCACACAGACTTTGGCCAAAAGATGCTATTTCAATGTATTTTGTGTAAAAATACAAAGCATACTAGGAAGTCTCTGTTTAAAATATGAAGAAATATCATATTTATTTTGATTAGCATAGTTGAAGGAATCTTATCGGGCAGTGTTTTTGATGACTAGCCCTTTTTACAGGTAGAAATATCCCAAGGGTTGCACGAGAGAGAAGTGATGGCATGTGCGCACTGAGCCTTCAAGCTTCACAGTGTCAGAAATGCTTTGATGAATTGACAGCAAGTGTTAGCCAGTGTCCTTGCAATCTGTATATAGAAATGACAAGACTTGATGTTTTTCATAAGATGAATTTATGATCTGAAGTCTCAATGTCATTCCTGTTTTTTCAGTCTTTCCCGGTTTTACCATCCCAGCTGATTGTTTAAATGATGTTTGATGTACTTGGGTTTAAGTTGTATGAATTATGATAGATCATTCAGTAAGGGATTCTGGAAAAGTGTATTATATCCACACAGATCTGTGTGTAGCACCAGCAACCGGACCCTTTGGGGATTGATGGAAATACTGCAGGAAGTCTTGAAATGACATATAAACCATAAAAATATCTTAAGAATATGTAGAAATATTCTATACATTTTAAAATGTATTTCTAAATATGGTTAAAGTGTTAGCTGATTTAGTATCTGGCTGATGTTTTTTTGTTGATGTTACACATTAACATTTTTGTACCTGTTATAAAGTTAGCAATAAAAAAAATTATATGTATATTTATATGTGAATTATATAAAGAGTTAATCATAATAACAAATAGTATTAATAGTAAAGGTTTCTGTAATATTAAATAAATTAATGTTACCCGTACCTATGTTTCTTTATCTGTTACCAATAATTGAAAATAATTAATCATTATAATAAATAGTTAATAAATGGTATTTTTAAATGGTAATTTAATTTTAAATACATATATATTTTAGTTTAAATATTTTTTAAAGTATTTAAAAATGTCATTTTTTAATTTTTAATTATTATTTTTTTATGTATTTGTATTTGGATAAGGTTGGCAACCTGTGTTGCATAATGTTCCTCCTGGTTTCTCCCTGTGGCTTTTTATGCTGACTCGGCTTGGCTGCTGCGGAGTATGCATTGTGCTGTTGTTTATGGGTTTCTTTGACTGGTTATTGACCCCCTGCTTTTATGTATGTGTGTGTAGGAAGCTGAGACTCTTGAGGCTGCGACTAAGCAGTTTGAGGACCTGGAGTTCCAGCAGTTAGAGAAGGAGAGCAGTCTGGAGGAGGAGCGCGAGACCATCAGCCAGCAGCTGCTGCAGGACAGAGCTCAGTACCACAGCAGCGTCGCCAAAAGAAAAGTAAATGAAACACACACATATAACAAAGCATGGAACCATTAAGAGCGTCTCAAACTCATTTACAAGCTGTTGTTTCCAGGAAAAAGTTGCAGCATTGGAAAGCCAAGCCAATCAGCTGGGAATACAGGCTGCTCAGGAGTGTGAGAGGCTGGCCAAAGACAGAAGTATGACATTGCAGCTGCTACAGAAGGTACAGGAAATGAAAATGACTTACTATATTCACTTTTTATGGTTTTGCTCATTTTAAGAACACTTTAGGTTGAGGACTTTCTCCAAATTTCTCCAAAACCACTTCCATCAATTGTCTACGTTGTTGCTTGGTCGAAAAAAAAAAAAACTTTTCAAAAGTTTAGCATTAAATGATTGAATTAAAATCTGTGCATTGAGAAAATAACTAAAAGTGCTCATTTGAATGAATTGGTTTGTTTGGATAGTTCCATTACACTGAGTCACTGTGCAAACATTTTTCTAGTTTTTTTCAACTGAGATCACGCTTGTTTTGTTCCTTACAGTATATGTATTGCTTTGTTTACAAAGAAAAAATACATTCCTATTCAAAATGTTTGGGGTCAGTTAGATATTTTAGTTTGGTTAGAAAAGTGTCTTATGCTCACCAAGGCTACATACATATGTGACCCTGAACCACAAAACCAGTCATTTGAAATTTATACATCAACTGAAGGCTAAATAAATATGCTTTCCATTGATGTATGGTTTGTTATGATAGGACAATATTTGGCTGAGATAAAACTATTTGAAAATCTGGAATCTGAGGGTGCAAAAAAATATGTATATATATATATATTGAGAAAATCGCCTTTAAAGTTGTCCAAATGAAGTTCTTAGCAAAGTATATTACGAATCAAAAATTAAGTTTTAATATATTTATGGTAGGAAATTTACAAAATATCTTCACGGAACATGATCTTTACTTAATATCCTAATGATTTTTGGCATAAAAGAAAAATCGATAATTTTGACCCATACAATGTATTGTTGGCTATTGCTACAAATATACCCGTGCTACTTATGACTGGTTTTGTGGTCCACGGTCACATATTTGATCATAAATACAGTAAAAACAGTTGTATTGTGAAATATTATTATAATTTTAAAAACTTTTAAGTTGTCAGCATCAAATACTCCAGTTTTTAGTGTCACATGATCCATCAGAAATAATTTTAATATGATTTGGTGCTCAAGACATTTATTGTTATTATCAATGCTGAACACAGTTGTGTAGCTTTATATTTTTGTGGAAACCGTGATACCCTTTAACTGATCGAGTTGGAATCTGTGTTTCAGGAAAAGGAAAGGCTGGCCAATCTGGAGAGAAGATACCAGAGCTTAACTGGTGGAAAGACGTTCCCCAAAAGCTCCAACACTGTAAAGGAGGTAAGCAGAACTGTAATCATATGCTTTATGAGCATGTTAGGTTATAAAGATATAACTGCTGAATATTTGTTCCCCTGCTTGAAATTAGAATGTATTTGTTGGTTAACATATCTTTAAAATGTTGTTTTTTCAAAGTACAGTATGCTCTCATGTGACCTTCAAATGGTTGATGTGGTTTCTTAGCAAAACATTTTGCAATTAATCTTTGTAGTTTGGTTTTCTTGGGCTAGGAGAGTTATAAGGTTCAGCTTTTTAGCCAGATGGTAGCATATGCGTCCCCTGTGCCGTCCCATAATAATTTGGTTAGTGAAACAGGAAATGAAATCTTTTAGACTCAGGATATTGTTTGACTTATAAACCTCCGCCCAGGATGTGCTTCACATCAGCGAGACTGACCTGTTAGACGATGATCACCCCTACTCCTATGGCAAGCCGTTTTGACTTTTATTCCTTCACGGGATATGAATTCTTGATATCAACAATTAATTTTTACTACTCCTCCCCTTTTCATGCTTCCTCATTCCACTCATATCCCATGGTGCCTCAGGAGGTAACTGAACTAACTGTCGATGCATGCAGCCTGGAGCATCTAAAACTGCCAATATTGACTAAAATGTGCTCTGAGAACGTCAGTACAAAACATCTCAATTTGTGTTGCAACCCTCTACATTGCGAGTAAATCACTCGCATATGCGACTAAATCTTACTCTGGGCGACTAAATAATGTCTAACATTAGCCATTGGCTAATACATTCTTAGATTTTACTCGCCAGTATGTGTGTGAGAGGCGTTCAACACAGATTTTCACTCGATAAACACGCTGACTGAGCGCTTGAGAGTTTCACTCTCCGTCAAACGATCTGTACTATTTGGATGCGCTCAATAGATCATGTCATGTACTCAATGGATGCACAGTATGTAGCACCAAGGTGTGCGTAGAGGGTTGTGTTGCCTTATTGAAAGCGCTTGGCTTGTTGGGATCTGATGTTTGGAGGCTTCCAAAGACAAATCACACTTCCTCTGAAGTTTTGGAAGGAGTTTATTGATTTTGTGTGACTTTTTTGTTAAAGAGTTTGCAGCTACTTTTTTAAAAAGTAATTTGACTGTAGTTGGACTACTTGAAACTATAGCTGCGTCCCAAATGACACACTATACTAGGGGTTGAACGACTTCTGATTTTTTGAAGTCGACTTTTATGTGATGAAAGTCGAGTCGAAGTCGACTAGTCGATTAGTCGGTGCACTATACACTTATACACTATTATGTACTATGTACTCAGTGTAGTGTATGAATTATATAAGGTTATTTTGTCATTTATAAATGTTGTCTGTTAGCCCCTCCCCCCTCGGTATGTAATTAAAGCTGCTGCAGTTGAATGCATGAAGTGTCCAAAATTCCTCATTTCGTTTTTTTTTTTTCTCCAGTTATTTAAGTGCATCATCTGGGTATTTAAAGTGCACTTTTTCTTTTTGGAAATTTCCGTGTGAACACACTGCTTGCACTAGTTATATTACAAAATGGCATAGAACAGTGCAAAAGTACATGATTTGGGATGCACTGCTTGAGTAACTTGTAATTTGTAATTCATGTAAAGAGTTAGATGGAGGCATGTCGCTGTTGGTCAAGCTAGGCATGCCTGTCACTGTAGGTGTATGAATATGACAGAACTGCTCTCATTGGGTTTTAATGCGAGTAAACTGACAGCTGAACTTCTGTCCTGCGTGAATGGGTTGACTGGTAACGTGTCTCAGGAGTACTTGAAGCTGTCGGATGTTTATAAGATGTATGGGAGTAATTGCCTTGACATCCAGCTCGCCAACGCTTCCTCACACGGCCTCTCGCTTGCTCTTGACCCAGCTGTAACTGCCCCTCGTGAGGTATCATATCTGCTCTCTTCTTTCTGCTTCTCTCTTTTAAACTTCTTTTCCTTTCTTCATACCTATAGTCCTACTTACATTTGTGCTGTATATATTTGTTAGCTTTACATCATATACATGGCCATCACCAAGCACAGTATTAGGGTCATGCTAGGAAACGGTTGCCTTTTCCAGTATGATACGGTAATTTATCATAAACATTCTGACAAATAAAGTGTTGAATTAATAGTTGAGAAAATAAACATTTTCTAAAAATGTTCTAATACTCAGCCCATCCAAGATGTAGATGAGTTTGTTTCTTCGTCGGAACAGATTTGGAGAAATGTAGCATTACATCACTTGCTCACCAATGGATCCTCTGCAGTGAATGGGTGCCGTCAGAATGAGAGTCCAAACAGCTGATAAAAACATCACAATAATCTACAAGTAATCCACACGAATCCAGTCCATAAATTAGCGTCTTGTGAAGTAAAATACTGTGTGTTTGTAAGAAACAAATCTATCATTAAGGCATTTTAACTTTAAACCATTACTTCTGGTTAAAATACGAGTCCACAATCCATAATTACGTACATTATTATGTACATTTTGGGTGAACTATTGCTTTAATAAAGTGCATTATGATCTCAAGTAAAATACATTGAATATACTGTATTTTAATTTAAAATAAGTTCAGATCAGGGTTATTATCATTAAAACTATTAAAAACATTTTTTGTTAATTTAAATAAAGCTGAAATAAAAAACTAAACATAAACTGAATGAAAATAAGAAATGTTTCCTTTACAACTAAGTGAAATAAGTTTAAGGTGAAGCACAAAAATTAATCACTTAAAATAAAAACTAAAATCAAACTAAAACTATAATGAAAAAAAAAAAAAAAAACGAATAAAATTACAAAAGCACATTACCAAAAAATTACCAAAAAATCAAAACTGAAAATATGAAAACAAAAGCCAATTCAAAATATATATAAAAAAACTTTAATACGATATAAATTTGAATAAAATAAACCATTATTTGGATATAATTATGCTTTAAAAAAAATAAGCTATTCATTTCATACATTTAGTTTTTTTTAATCAAAATTAACATATTTGATTACACAGTAAGAAGTTGAAAACCGGTTGGACAAATCAAAAAAAGGCAAAAAAGAAAATGTAAATAAAATAATCTAAATGTAAACAAATAAAGGAACACAAATGACACTCGTTTTATAGAATGACCCAGTACCTGATCAATCTCTAGGCTTGATGCAATAAAGCAATATCTTATATGTTAGTTTTTGTCCTAACCAGCTGCATTTTTTCATTCATTTGGTTGCTGTGACGGTGCTAGATGGCCCTATACCCATCGAGAAATCTCATTGAGTCACAATCTCACTCCATATAACTGTATATTAAACATTACATTTGTTCTGATTGGCTGTTTTCACTTTCACTGTAGACAGACCTACCTGCTGGAAACTTTGCGTTGCATCTGGTTAGGACACAGTATTGGGGCTAATGTTTATGCATAGAGTAATTAGAAACTGAATAGCTTTGTTATACTTAATTATGTGCTGTAGTTGCTAACTTTATAACTTCTCTTTCCTGCTCTGCTACTTCCTGTTGTTTCCCTTCTGCCTGTGTCCGCTTGTCACTCCTGGATGTCAGGAGTATGTGACCGTCGGCCAATTAAACCAGATCTATGGGATGCCGAAGGTGGAGTCTTCCCCTACCTCACCCATCCAATTACTTCAGTCTTCTCTCGCAGACTCCGCCTTCTCCTGCCTCCCCTCCCCTCACAGCTCCTCCCTCTCTCTCTCCTTCGAGGTGTGTCTCTCCTCCTCTCGTTTTATTCCCGGTTAGGGCTGGGTATCGCCAACGACCTGTGTCATTCAGTCATTGAACGAATCTTTCAGTTGCTCATTAACACTCTTCTCTTTCTCTCTCTGGCATCCCACCATTCCACCTCTCTCTCTCTCTCTCTCTCTCTGTGCTTATGGATGTGCTGCGTGTGTTAAGCGTCAGTTGGACTGGGGCAGGCCTCAGATGCCTGCTCTAGATTTAGAGCGCTGGTACCAGGAGGTAATGGCAGCTGGAGATGCAAACCATCTCTGCCCTCCTCCTCCCCTCCCAGCTAAAGCTTTCTCATCACGCAAGCCTGCGCAGGTAACAGCCAGAAGCTCAGCTCTCTTTCACCCTCCTCTGCTCTTCCACATTTTCACACTTCATCTTCATAGGCCTCTTTTACAGTATATTGATGTGTCTAAGTAAGGTTGTTTTTTGGGGTGTTTTGTGTCAATGCAATTTTTAATTTTTTTTGGCTCTTGACTGTTACATTTTTCAAGGTTTCTATCTTCTGTTGTGTGAATAGCCATCTATAGCAGTTTCCTTTTGTTAAAGGAATAGTGCAGCGAAAAATGAAAATTCTGTTTGTATTTACTATATTACTAATCCTCATGTTGTTACAATCCTGAATGACTTTGTTTCTTCAATGGGACACAAAAGAAGTTGAACAGAATGTCCAAGCTGCTCTTTTCTGTTACAATGAGAGTGGATGAGGACACTGTCAAGCTTTAAAAAGTATATACTATCTAATATACAAAGTTTTGTCATGACAGGTTTTAACTCAGTCGGATATAATCGCATCATTATTCACATGGCACAGCCGATTGGTTTCTTTTCACATCAGCAGCCAATGAGCTTACTGCTCAACATTCAAATACTCGGCTAGTGGTTGCTGTAGCAGTTGCAGCACTTCAGAAGCCCTCCACTTCCCCAGCTCCACCTGTCTAGATCTGCTACGGGGTGATTCATGTATGTTATATATGGGGGTTATTTCATATATGTTATATGTACAGCAGCAGTATTTCTTGCATGCTCGCAGCAGCATGTCTGTGGATGTATTGCCACTAGCAAGTCTAGGTATTATTTTACCGCAGCTTTAGCAACGTAGCAGATCCATTTCTCCAAGAACAAATACATTAACATTGGCATGTACATTACCACGCTAAACTCTCTGAGAGTTGTCATGACAAAACATAAATTAGCTATCTATGAGGAAAAGACTGAAGTGATTATGCTTTTAAAATCTTGCTTGACAGATATAATCTCCAATCACCTTTTTCTGTATGGAAAAGAGCAGCTTGAACATTCTGCTAAGTAACTCTTTTTGTGCTTCATGAAAAAAAATGTCAGTCAGGTTTTGAAAGATATAATAGTGAGTGAATGATGACAGAATTTAAATTTTTGAGTGAAATGTTCCTTTAAACAAAGCAACTTTTTACTGGTCATGCATGTTTGTTAATGGATTGTGAAGTGAAGTGTTATAAACTGTATACACAACTGTTCAAAACTTTTGTGGTTTTTGAAGTCTTGTGCTCACCAATGCTGCATTTATTTGATTAAAAACATAGTAAAAACTATAATATTGTGAAATATTTTTACAATTTAAAATGTTTTATTTTAATATATTTTAAAATGTGTTTTATTCCTGTCATGCAAAGCTGAACCATTCAGCATCATTATTCCAGTTTTCAGTGTCACTTGATTCTTCAGAAATCATTCTAATATGCTAATTTGCTGCTCAAGAAAAATTTCTTATCATCGATATTAAAAAACAGATGTGCTGCTTAATATTTATGTGGAAACCATGGTATATTCTTTGATGAATAGAAAGTTCAAAAGAACAACACTGATCTGAAATCTTTTATAAGATTATAAATGTCATGACTTTCAATTTTAATCATTTTACTGCATCCTTCACAAATAAAAGAATGTTTTATTTTCAATAATAAAAAAAAAACAATAAAAAAAAAATCCTACTTACCCCAAAGTTTTGAAAACTAGCATGCAGAAAGCGCCCTTATAGTCTAAAATCAAGGAACAAAGAATATATTATTATCATCACAATTACAAAAATGTATGGAACATTAATAATTTAATGTAAAGCAGTGTGTTCTGTCTAACATTTAACAATGTTGATTATAATTAAAAACAAATGTTAAAGATTTACTTCACTCAAGTTTACTTCATTTATTCAAAACAGCAATTTGTGTGCTATATAAGTCAAACTTAAACCATATGATGACTTTTTTCCCCCTCCACTGTAGCTTTTAAATCTTGTTTTCTCGTGCTCACATTTAGACTTGTATTGAGTAAATTAAAGGGATAGTTCACCCCAGAATGAAAATTCTGTTGTTTACTACTCATCCTCATGTTGTCCCAAACCTGTAAGACCATTCGTTCATCTTTGGAACACAAATTAAGATATTTTTGATGAAATCCGAGAGCTTTCTGACCCTGAATATACAGCAACATAACTGACTCATTCAAGGCCCAGAAAGCTAGTAAGAACATCGTTAAAATAGTCCATGTGCCATCAGTGGTTCAAACTTAATTTTATGAAGCTACGAGATTACTAAGTAATTAATGACAGAATTTTCTTTTTGGGTGAACTAACCCTTTAAGACTGAATTTTGTGTTGAACTACACCTTTAAATCTTACAGATGCTATGTTTACTGATGTAAGGAATATAACTCGATTTCACATTAGTAAGATGAAAAGCAACACTTCGACTCACGATGACTCTTTCTGTCCTGCAGGTGTACCGCTCTCGACTGGACAGTGATACCAGCCAATCGTCAATTTCGAGACCGAAAATCAGCGCCGGTCTGTCCCCCACATACACTACAGCTACACTGGGACGCAACACTCCTGCCAGGGTAAATACTGCATTGAGTCTGTGTTAGCCTCGGTCCAGAGTAAATTCTCTCTGTTACACCCCTGCCAGGGTAAATAGTGCAGTTCTCAGAATCTCCTGCATCATTTCATGTGGTAATTTAGCCCCCTCCTTATTGTTAAATATGCTGGTGGAAATAATTGTTTGTTTTGTTTACTCAGAGTCCTCTGATGGTAGTCAACAGCACCGGGAGTCTCCCACGCAACCTGGCAGCCACCCTGCAGGACATTGAGACCAAGAGGCAGCTGGCTCTCCAGCAGAAAGGTAATGAGAAACACAGCAGCTTGACAGCTGACATTTCAGAGCTGGTTGTAAAATCAACATAAAAGGCTGATGAGCCGTCAAACTTCAACCAAAAATGTCATTATTTACTCACCCTCATGTCGTTCCAAACCCGCATGCTTTTTTGTAATTTTCCACATCAGTTTTATTTTCCTTATTTAGAGTGGCCACGGGATACCAGTTTATTCTTTCGTCGTTGTCCTTAGTTGTGTTTTAACTTTTGATCATCAGTCATCCTTTGTTGTCCCTTGCCCTCAAACAGAATTCTTGCCCTCCGTCTTTGAGTCGTCCTCCAGTACGGACAGTCCCACAGGTAGAGCGAGCTCTGTGTAGCATTGGACTGCCCTTCATCATAATCAGCATCCTCATTAATTCTAACTCAACGTTTTGTGCACTTCCTTCCCCATTGGAACGGTCTTGCCGTGTCCAAATGTTCTTTTACCAAGGTTTTTTTTCAGTTGATGGCATAGCTGTGCATGGATTGAATCATGATATCAGTGATAATCTTGTAGTTTCATATATTTAAAGTACTTCTGCTGCACTACCAGTCAAAAGTTGTACACACTTGAATTGTTTTTAGTTTATTTAAATTCTACATAGTTTAAATATATAAAACCAGTGTAATTAGATTTTTTAAATTATTTAATTTTCATTTGTTAACATTTTTATGGTTAAAAATAAAAATTCTCAAGTCACAGGGAACATTTTATTATTGTTTTTTTAATTCTATTTTGTAATTACTTTTTTATGCAAATATGAATCATACATTGTACCTAACTTACAAATGAAGACTAATTATTTATTTTATTTTTATTTTATATTTTAGTAAAACTCAAATATAATAGTTAGTTTTTAAAAATTATTTTATTTTAATAAAGCTAAAATATCAGATCAGTTTAATTACTTTTTTTATTTGATTATCGCTTTTAATATGTAAACATTTTGTGACTTCTACATAATTCCCAAATCATGGGAATATTTTATTTTATTTTATTTTATCTCAAATATAAGATCAGCTTAATTACTTTTATGTATTTAATTTTCATTTTTAATATGTAAACTTTTTTGTGACTACTTCTACACAATTTCCAAATCATGGAAAATGTTTTATTTTATTTTATTTTATTAAAGCTCAAATGTAAAAAGAGTTTAATTTGTTTTTTATATTTAATTAGCATTTTTAATATGTAAACTTTTTGTGACTTTACTAATTGATTGATTGATTGATTGATCCAAAATCACAGGGAGCATAAATGTTTAATTAGTTTAATCAGTTTCATTAGTTTTTAAATTAATTTTATTAACGTTACAACATAATTCCAATAGTTTTCAAAAATAAATAATGAGTAGAGGGGTTTTGACTGGTAGTGTACAAAGGAATCTTGATTTAGAGGTATTGCTTGGGCTGTTTATTCAGCGCACATACGTCACATATTTATATGTGTATGTGTGAGGCATGATGGAGCAAATTATGGGCAAACTATACCATACTAAATGGATGTGCAGTCACTTGGTTTTCAAAGCACTATGTAGTCTAATAGAGGGTTTGGCAGCTATCTGTGACCTATAAACTGTTTAGCTTGTTCAGTTTTGGGATCATTTAGTTCACAGCATATCCTCTCTGTGGATTTGACTTTCATGTATGTGTTTTATCTACACCAGGCCAGCAGGTGATTGAGGAGCAGCGGAGGCGTCTGGCCGAGCTGAAGCAGAAAGCTGCAGTAGAGGCTCAGTGCCAGTGGGAGGCGCTCCATGGCTCTCAAACGCAGCTCAACAGTCCCTTTTCCTCCACCTCTGGGCCAGTCATGCACCACTCCATCCTGCACCACACAGCGCCCTCTTCTGGGGAACAGCCTTATGACACCCTCAGCCTGGAGAGCTCGGACAGCATGGACACAAGCATCTCCACTGGAAACAACTCGGCCTGCTCTCCTGACAACATGTCCAGGTTCGACATTTCCACGTGCTTTCCTCAATCACTTTCTCTGAGCGCTGAGCCAGTGGCTCTGTGACAGGAATTAGTGGCGGCTCTGTGGTTTCTCTCCACATGCCTGTCCCAAGCTAAATGATCAACCATCTGCTTAATGGCTTTCACTGATAGTGCCTGCAAAGTGGACTTCATAGGGTGTTCGGCCGACTAATGTGAGACTTCAGATCATAGGGGAGCGTAAATTATTCTCATTTCTTTTCATTTTAAACATTGCATTTATCAGTAATTGTGAGGGGTTTGAGTATGACAAATGATATGATTCTATATATAATACAGTTTTAAATATAAATATTAACAAATATAAATTTAAATATAAATATTAAACATTTTATAAAAATCTTATAAAATGAATGTAATACTCACTACTATTCAAATGTTTTGCGTCAGTAAGATTTTTATTTTTTAAAGAAAATATTACTTTTAATCAGCAGGGATGCATTAAATTTATCAAAAGTGAAAGTTACAAAAGATTTCTAAATTTTGAGCTTTCAGCTTTAAAAAAAGTCATGACAGAAATAAATGAATTTTTAAAAATACTGTATATTTTTATAAAGAACTGTAAAAAACTGGTAATAATATTTTACAACATTACTGATTTCACTATGTATTTGAACAAATAAACAGCCTTTGTGAGCATAAAAGACTTCTTTAAAAAAACACATTTAAAAAATCTCAATATACACTGACATTCAAAAGTTTGGGATCATTTTTTTTTAAGAATTTAAAGAAATGAATACTTTTGTTCAGCAAGGATGTGTTAAATTGATAAAAAGTGATAGTAAAGATATATTGTTAGAAAAGATTTTTATTTTGAATACGCTGTTCTTTTTAACTTCTTATTTATCAAAGAATCCTGAAAAAAGTATCACAGATCCCCCCCCTTAATATATATATATATATATATATTAAGCAACACAGCTGTTTCCAAGATTGATAATAAATCAGCATATTGATAATAAATAAGAATGATTTCTGGAGGATCATGTGACACTGAAGACTGGAGTATTGGCTGATGAAATTCAGCTTTGCATCACAGGAATAAATTATATTTTAAAGTATAATAAAATAGAAAACTGTTGTTTTAAATTGTAATAATATTTCACAAAATTACTGCCTTTTTCACTATTTTTGATCAAATAAATGCACCCTTGATGAGCAAAAGATACTTCTTTAAAAAACATTAAAGCGATAGTTCACCCAAAAATTTAAATTCTGTCATTAATTACTAGGGCTGGGTTTTGACACAAATTTCACGATTTGATTCGATTCTCATTCACAAGCTTGCGATTCGATTCAATTACCAATTCGATTCGATTCAATATCGATTATTCTGGATATATATCAGGTACAGTACATGCCAAATTTTCTCAAGGAAAAAAAATCTCTCAACTAATGCTGTAAAATATTCATGAGAGTCAGTTGGTACTACATTACTATAATATTGAAGGTTAAAATTGACTGTTTTGTTAAAATTACACTTAATGAAGTTTTTAAAATAATACATTTACAATTACATAATAATATTTCTACTTCAATAAATATAATGGTGGCTGTCATAAAAACTTGATGGATTTATTCAAACATAAATTAAACAGTGAAGAACAGTCAAATTTATGATGAATATGTTATATGGTGCATATATTTAGCAAAATGCCCCTCTCTAGTTTATGGTCACCGAATATGTTTTTCTGAGGTAAATGTGACGTTACGTGACATTGTTTACAAGCTGTTATATTGACGTGTTTGTGCGGCTGAAACACTAATTGAGAGATTACATGAGACAGGATACGGATTGTAAAGTTGTACTCTTTCTTTTAACTTACCTTCGGATGTTTAGTCATGTTTATTTTGTGCTGAAACTGGTATTAATGTGGAGGAGATGATCAGTTCACGTGCAGGCGCTACAGCGATCTGTCACTCCACAGTAAACAGCGCCTAAACGGCATTTATTGTTTGAATAATGCAATACAATGGACAGAATTTGAAATCTGAGTCTTTGTTTCATATTAAAAGTACCAAATCACAATGCTTATTGCGATTTATTGGATGGAAAGTATGCTTCAATGTTCCGTCTATTAACTGAAAACAGGCTAGGCTAGTCGATTCTTTGGATTTATGACTTGATATCATTCCGTAAAAATGAGAATCGGTTAATACCGAGATATCGATTTTTTTTTTACCCAGCCCTATTAATTACTCACCCTCATGTCATTCCAAATCTTCATCTTAACACTATTGTCTGGTTAAATATTATCATTTTTCTTTTTAATTCTAAGGTAATTCATAATAGTGCTACTATTACTTTTTTCAAAAATGTAAAAAAATCTCACTGACCCCAAACAGTTTGAACTGTCCTGTATATTATCTTATATATGAAATATTTATATACAATTTTTTATATTTAAATGAATATAATTTGTTATACTGTCTGTTATTATACATTTATATTATATTACGTCCATGTGAAAATGTGTAAAATAATGTATATTTGAGATCAATTCACATGCATGTAGTAACTCTGTGAATCAGAATGCAGCAGCCGTGCTTCCTCCCTCCCCCTTTCTTGAGAAAAGGAAAGAACAAATGAACGGCTTTGATGCTTGAGGCTACAGATTAGGTTGTTTCTGGGTTAAACGGACTGCGTGAAGACACGTCTTTAAGCTTGTAGGTTGTTGCTGGGTTAAACGGGCTATGTGTCGTCTGTTCAGCTTCCACTTAACAGGGACAGTCAGAGCACACATTGGACTAAATGGGCTTGCAAAAATGTCAACAATCGAAAAGGCGTCTTCCATAAACACACCGTTTGCTTATCCACCCTTCCTGTCAGAAATGCACTCCCACTTTTTGTCTGTTCTTCACCATCCCCCTCTGCACATATAGAGTAATCCAAACGTACATATGGCAGTTAAGCGTCCTGTTATACTTTCATCAGAATTCGACATTTATAAATAACAGATGAGCCAAAGGAGAAAGGAAATGTGGGTTGTAGAAATGAATGAGGTGCAAACACCGGCTGAGTGAAATTCAGAATTCAGTTCATGAGTGTGGATCTGAATTGAATTGGTCACGCTGCAGAGCATGTTGGAGTGGAATTTGATTTGGAATGACAGGAAGAGAAATGCACTTAATTGTAATTCAAAGAAATTCAGTACAGTCACATAGCAGATTTTCTTCTACACACAAAAAAAATGCATAATTTATACGATAAGCCTGCTCTGTGTTGTTTGTTTCCATTTTAAAGACGTTGGGGTAAATTAGAGCATTCTGGAAAATGTTGGGGATGCAGTGCAGTGCATCAGAGTTCATAAAATGAAAGTTCATTTACTAAACATAATGAAATGTTAAGTAATACATAGAAAATTGATCTACATTTTCATTTATTGATTATTGAAATTAATGGTAACACTTTAGTATAGGGACCAATTCTCACTATTAACTAGTTGCTTATTAGCATGCCTATTATTAACATATTGACTGTTTATTTGTACGTATAAAGCACATATTCTGCGTGATCATATTCTACATCACTTATCCTACCCAATACCTGAACTTAACAATTACCTTACTAACTATTGATAAGCAGCAAATTAGGAGTTTATTGAGGCAAAAGCCAGAGTTAATGGTTTATGAATGGCGAGAATTGAACCTTAAAATAAAGTGTGACCAAATTAGGAGTAATTATTGATTTGTAATCTTCTGGAATGACCTAATATTAATGTATGTTTAATAACTCATAATAAATTAGTCATACTGAAGTATACTCTGCCATTCAAAAGTTTGGGTTCAAAAGATATTTGAATGCTTTTGAAAGAAGTTTTTTGTGCTCATGAAGGTCGGATTTTGTTTTAATCTAAAATACAGTGAAACAGTAATATTGTGAAAGATTATTACAATTTAA